CTGCAAGAATTTGGGTGAGGTGTCAGAATGGGTGGCATTCCAAACCCTTTTGGGCTGGTCCCTAACAGGACAGGACTGGGAATGAAAGGATGGCGGATGCCTCACAATTTTACAAGACACGTTCAGGACAAGGAGAAGGCAAAGGAGAGATGCAGCCTTGGAGAGCCTAATTCCTCTCTGGAGTGCGTGCTTTTCCCTGATGTCAAGATTCTAAATTATTCCACTGTTTACCTGCTGCGTGACTTGACAAAAGGGTAATGTGATTTAGAAACTCAGCGGTCGTCCAGAAAGTCTATTTTCAGCCAGGCGGTTACCAGGCAATGTCAGGGGATTGGACTCTGCTGTATTAAATCCCAGATTTAATCCAGGAGCTGATGTATCTGTGAATATCAGAAAAGCACAACAGCCTTTTGCATGGGTCGTATCAATTCCATACAGTATTTTCCTTGCGGAAGTAAGAATTAACACATCCAGAAAGCTAGGCTTAGCACCTTTGGATCTCCTGATGAAAATTTCAGCCTATTGTTAGGATGTGAGCATTTATATACATACCCTGCTCTGCCTGCTACACAAGACAGAAAAATAAAAAATTACCCTGGAAAAATAACTTAGATCTTGGGGAAAAGAAGAATGCAGGTGGTAATATATAAAGAATTCCCTGAAGATACAGCTTGCAGCCTTTTACTTTGTTTTAAAAAGTCTTTTGTTTTGCTGCAGCAATAGAAATAAAAGATAAAAATAATTTGAAAGTAAAAGAAGCAGAAAGATAGTCTTTGTAGGTTTGTCTGTTCTTGAGATGGTAATCATAATGGCAAACCCAAGGACAGCTAACATTTATTGAGTGCTTACTATGTGCCAGGCATAGTAAGCACTTTATACCCTTAACTAATTTAATCCCTGTGACAAACCTATTAGGAAGCTTTTATTATGATCCTCATGTTAAGGGGGCTGAGAACCAGCGAAATTAAACAACTTGTACGAGGTCACATGGCCAGTAATTAACAGAGATAGTATTCAAACTGTCTCTTGAGTAAGCTAAATAAAACGCTATCCTATTTTTTGTAGAGCCATGTATCTTTATTCTCTCCTTTCTCTATGGTAAAGTTTGTTCTGGTCCCTCTGTAGGATTACAATATGTTGCAAATGCAGGTCCCACGTAATTCTAACAAGTCTGATCACTAAGTAGCATTGTCAGGGGAGTGGTTCCCAATCCGTGACTCTGGGCCTTGGGGCATCAATGATTTATTATTATCACTAACAATAGCTCGCTATGTGTCATGTCTTCTGCTACATATTTTATGTTTTATTTCAGCATTTAAAAAGATTTGCATGATTCATGATTGTTGTAAAGCAGGACTGACTATATATACATATTTGAAATGAAAGTTTCACAAAACATCATTTACCTTTACTATGTGTGACACACTTTGCTATTTTTCATTTAATCTATTTTATTTAAACATGCTGACTGTGGCCACGGGCAGTAGCTCATGCCTGTAATCTCAGCACTTTGGGAGGCTGAGGCGGGTGCATCACCTGAGGTCTGAAGTTCAAGATCAGCCTGGCCAACATGGTGAAACCCTGTCTCTACTAAAAATAAAAAATTAGCTGGGTGTGGTGGCATGCACCTGTAATCCCAGCTACTTGGGAGGCTGAGGCAGGAGAATCGCTTGAACCCGGGAGGCAGAGTTTGCAGTGAGCTGAGATGGTGCCACTGCACTCCAGCCTGGGCGCCAAGAGCAAAACTCTGTCTCAAAACAAAACAAAACAAAACAACAACAAAAAAATGCTGGCTGTGACATGCTAATTGATTTCGTGTCCTCCTAAACGGTTTAGGAAAACGCTTCTCCTTTAGTTCATTTTGGTTTTCACAAGAATCTTATAAAGTCAATATGATTTTAATACCCATTTTACGGATCAGAAAACTGAGTTAATTTGCTCAGAGTCATGCAGAGAAACCAAAGTCCATAGCTTATAATTTGCATTGTATTCCTTTTTCAAAACAGATTTAGTTATGTTAAAGAAACAGCTTTCCAGATTCTTACGTACTTAGTGCATTGCTGGTGGACTGAATAAACACAAGATCTCGCACATGTGTATGTATGGGTACTGTTCTAGATCTAAAATATGCAGATGGTGTTGTGATTTACAAAAATAAAATATTCCTAAGTACATTTAAATTTACTGTAGGTTTAGTTATGCATGTTTTCAATCAAATGATTAAAAATTACAGCTTCTAATACACAACAATCTAAGAAATTATTAGAAATTAGAATTTCTTTTTTTCCCTAGGAAATGGATTGAAAGACAGAGGCCACGCTTCAGCAGAAGTAGGCTTAACCAGGGATTTATGAGTTACATTTTTAGTTTCAGCAAACTTAGCATATGCATCAATTATTAGTAGACAACTACAGCAGTATTAGAATATAGGAATTTGTCATCAATAGAAATTACTGATATTTTCATATCATCTCACAATGTTGCAAATATTCCAAAATATCCATGCTCGTTATCACATCAAAATTACACCAGTTATCAGATCCACCATTAGATATTAATATTTAGTGCATTGGTAAAGAAACCATTTGCATCAGTATATCACAAAATTTGTTTTGTAATATTTTGATTGATAATTAAATTTCAATATAATTTTATGCATTCAAATACATTATAATTTAGAAAACAGGAATGTAAAAAGGATTCCCTGGCCTCTCCAGATGACCAAAGTAGGACATGGCTCCAAAACAGATGAAGGCTTTAGCTAGAGCAGGGAGAGGGTCTTCAATGTAGCTGATGGTCTATGGATTGCCTCTTTAGAACTGGGTCATCTTCCTAGCTACCCAACAGCAACATCGATTATTGTGAACCATCTGGCAAAGGGGCAAATCGGGTGCCATTTCTAGGAGAGGTGGGAATTGATGAGGCACAGTGAGTTGTTTGGTCCTTTAAGCCTTTCTCTGGTCTCTAGTCTGCCCCTCCTGTTTCAGTGTCACATCTTTGTCGTCTTATTCCCCATGATGTGCCTCTGCCTCTTGCATTTACCACACAAACTCATGTAAGGAACTTAGAATTAATTACTGTGTTTTGCTGAATTTCAGTTGAGAAAGTCACCATGGCTTACTGGATGCTCATTGTTCCTGGTCTCAACAAGAAACTGACATGACTGATGTTCTTCAGAACAGGGTGGCAAAAGCCTACATTTCTGGACTGAGTCCTGGCATTAGTCTTCCTAAATTATCATATTGCCTCACAGAAATAAAAGGCTGGGGAAGTGACCAGTGGTTTAAATTATTTCTAGGCCAGCATTGTAAAGTTCTGTGAACACTAAATAATCAATAACAGACCTACATGCTCACAAAAGTCTCTGCTTTGATGAAGCCTTGTGCTGGTTTTCATTTGTGGTGTTAAATTTAGCCATAATGTTCTGTCCATTTACAGAAAAACAGATTATTATATGATCTATGAATTTAAATGGTTGACAGAGCAGAATTATTTTTATCTTGGGATCATAAAAATACACTAGCTTTAATTTACCTCTGAAATTCCTTTGAGATGGTATAAACTACATGATTTTATCACAGTTATCTTTCTTAAAAGCAAACTGAATTACTCTCTTCTCCTTTACAGTCTTCATGTTCCTCTACTGTCGATAGGTTGGAGTTCAAGGTTTTTAGGATGGAATCCAGTGTTCATGGATCTGCCTACCTCCTCCACTTCATGGTTGGCCATTTCCCCACATGTATTTCTATTGTAACCTTACTAATGGTATTTTGCATTTTTCTGCACACATTTTGACTTCTCCAACTTGCATGACTCTGCACAGGCTATTCAATCTTGCTTCCTGCTTTACTTCCTAGAAAATACCTATTGGTCCTTCGAAACAATTCTCAGGTTTTACCTTCATTCTGAAGATTTCCTTTATGTTGACCTCCATTCACTGCTACCCATCCATTGTAAGTCGGAGAATCTGTCTGTGTTGTCCTGTTAACGGACAGTGTTGATCTGAATGCATTAAAAGGGTCAATTAGCACAAGAACAGTGTCTTCATCTCTTTTCCAGGTGCCCAGTATATGGCAGAGGCATATATGATGTTGAAGGAATATTGGAGTTACACTTACCTAACTGATGGCATGTTGGGAGGATGGAGTAGTACAATTTAAGGATTTCATGCTGTATGGATCACTTCTTGTATCCTTTCTTACATCCTCTTAGCCTACCTTTTGACTCCAGGCATTGCTGTGATGACTGCATGGTTGTAACCTATCAGCCTCTCTCTTCAGCTGCACCACCAAACTCTAACTTTCTGACCTGGGGCTTCTCTGAGGCTGTTGCCGACTTTGCAGAAACCAAGTTAGCCATTCTGCCCTATGCACACACCGGAAGTGGGAATGAATGAAAACCCCATGGGGCAATGATGGAAGCTGAAGATGGTACTTCCCTCGGCATCCCTTAGAAAGACATACCCGGGACTCATTCTGCAAGGCAACCCAAAGCATCCCAAGAGGGGCACGCCTCACTTGCCCATACCAGTGGTCAGCTCAGTGAAAGATCTCCACATTGGGTTTCCCTCCCCCTGTTTCAATCTGCCTTGTTCTTTCCTCCTGCTCTTTGGAATCATTTCCCCAAATAAACTCCCTTGCCTCAGGCTCAGCTTTTGGGGAGAACCCAGACTAAGACAGCTTATTTAAAATCAGTTTTACTCAGCCAGGCATGGTGGCTCACGCCTGAAATCCCAGCACTTTGGGAGGCCGAGGCAGGCGGATCATGAGGTCAGGAGATGGAGACCGTCCTGGCTAACACGGGGAAACCCCGTCTCTACTAAAAATCCAAAAAAAAAAAAAAAAAAAGCCGAGCATGGTGGCGGGCACCTGTAGTCCCAGCTACTCAGGAGGCTGAGGCAGGAGAATGGTGTGAACCTGGGAGGCAGAGCTTGCAGTGAGCTGAGATTGCACCACTGCACTCCAGCCTGGGAAAAAAAAAAAAAAAGGGAAAAAAAAAGGAAAAAAAATTTAACTTTACTCAGTTAACTTTTTCTTAGATTTAGAGATGTTTGGAAACTATTTGCAAGACTCATAAAATAAACACTAAATAAAGATGGTATAGAAAACAAGTAAATAGGGTGGCATCCATTATATTGTATGTAAATGTGCTATAAAGTATGAAGTGTTATGAATTAGGCATTCTTTCTTCAGTCAAAAGACAGACTCAGACAATTGCTTAGTTTTGTTAAAACATTTCTCCATAATTCTACAGCTGTGTCTTAGATGGTAACTGAATAGTAATGTTTTGATTACAGCTTTGCAGATGTTGAGGCCCTAGACACAGCAGCTTTCTTCAATCAAGTGGTGAGGCCCTAGAAGACACATGTCTTTCCCGTAGGTCAGTGCAAGGATCTTGAGCATGAAACCCTATGCTCAGAGCAGTGGGCTGGAAGGCTTGCTCCCCTGTGTGTGTGTATGTTTGCATGTGTGTGAGTGTGTGTGCGTGTGTCTGTGCCTGCACGTGTGTGTTTCTTTCTGTGTAAGCACAAAGTATGGATTCCAGTGTCATTATTTTGTATACCACAATTTTTGGATTACAAATAGAAAAATGACATTTCTTTTGGGAATGGAGAGTATTGGACAGTAAAATTGATATCTGAAACCCTGTGCATTTCCAATCGCTTAAACCGCAGAAGTTTTGTATCTTTTGCAGCTAGAAGAGACATTCAAGTGCACTCAGTGCTACAGACCTAGATCATTTCTAACAGAGAGAAGCACTAGAACCGGAGCCTTTGGAGGCCCCTTCTCGCATATCACATAGCCTTCTCTTAATGATCCTGCTTTTAAACCAGAGGTCAGCAACTTTTTCCTGTAAAGGGCAAGATAGTAAATTATTTTGACTTTGCAGGCCCGTGGTCTCTGTTGCAGTTGCTCAGCTCTGCCGTTGTTGTGTGAAAGCAGTGGTAAAGGATACTTAAATAAATGAGTGTGGCTGTGTTCTAATAAAGGTTTATTTACAAACATAAGTATAGGTCTGACTTGGCCCACAAGCTGTGGTTTCCTGACCCCAGTTTTATACTGTTGAAGTCATGACAATTTCTGTTTGATGGTCACTAAAAGGCTATTGAGTCTTAGAATGGCAAAGCTACCACCTAGCCTGGTGGTAAGGTGAGCTGTTGCATCACAGTCCCCATGACTTGGCTTCTTTCCAGGCCTGCATGTGCTCAGATCTCCAGCAGCCAGGAGAGTGGGCCTGGCTCCCACAGTGCTCCGGTTTCCAAAAGGAATCACACATTCCCTTCCTGTGCAGATAAAAGAACAATTGTACCATGGGAGAACTTACTGGAAAGTAATGCGAGGTCACCAGGAAGGAACAGGAATTCACTCCTCGGTCACAGTCTTCATAGTCTGGTTGGGAGTCAATCAGATCTAAAAAGGTCAGTGAGAATGCATGTCTGACTTTGGAAGGCCTCCAGCGCCTTACAGTCATGGAATAGTGTGTTGGGTTGTTATTTCCAGAGCCTATTCAGAGCTTCCTTTGGCTGCTCTAGCCATGTCGTCTTCCTCACAGGCGGGTATATAATTCCCCCCGCCACGCCACCCTTCTTTTCCCCTCACTTATCATCTGTCAATGCAAAGCTATTGTTCATGTTAACGAAAATCACCCATAAACAAAGATTTTTTTCCTCTTCAGTTCATCCTCCATAAAACTTGACTTTCAGGTCCTTTCCTCTGTCCCCTTGTCTCTGGGAGCTGGTCCCAGGTCTCAGGCCCGAGAAAGCAAACATCTTCCATAAAAGGTCAGTGCAGGGAGTTTCGGTGAAACCTTATGCTGATGCAAATGGGCTAGACGATTGCTCTGGTGATTGTGTAGATTCACGTGTGTACACGTGTGTGCGTACATGTGTGTCTGTGTATCTGATTCTGACCTTTAAATTAAGCTTCTTGAGCCCCTGCTGAAGGAAGTCCTTTCAGCAGCGTGGGTGCCCTTGGTTAGCTTCCGGGTGGACATACTCTCTTCATTATTGTCAAGTCTTCATTCTGTCCCTCCCATTTTTCACCATGTGAATCCACCTTATGGTCTGTTTCAAAGTTGAACGAGACAAGAACTTTCAAAGGCTGGATAAAGGATGGAATTTTCAATGAATTTAATGACCTAATTCTCAAAAAGGTACATGCAAAAAAAAAAAAAAAAAAAATTAAAAAGATATCTGCAGTTACCTGTTCTCTTGTCTTTTTTTCCCCCCTGATTGCATCATCTCTAAAGTTGCCTTTCTTGATGATCAACTGGCCAGCTCTGTAAAGGGGCATAAGTTGCTAATGGGTCCTTGGAGTTGAAGTGATTTAGGGGAAAAAATCATACATTATTATTATTTTCCCCAAGTAGTACTCTGATGCCTGAGGAGAGGGATGCTGGAGTTGTGTGAGGAGTGGCAGAAATGAGGAGGAAGGAAGGAAGGAAGGAAGGAATATTTGATTATTTCTTCATAAACAACCAGTTCCTTTAGCACCTGCTATGGTTCCTGCTGCTGTGAGATGAATATCAATGGCTTCAATATTCCATTGTTTGTGACTGAGAAGCATTTGCCTGCTGTTCTGGGCTGCTTAGTTTTCAGACTGGCCACAAGGCAGAAAATGTGGCAGATATAAAAGGAAAATGTTGGCCAACATGCCCTACATCAGGTGAGTTTTCTCTCTAAAGCCCATTTCGGAGTTACTGCTTCTGCCCTTTTTGTTTCTTCACAGCCTTTGGTTGATTTTTAGTTACATTTCTTTTCCCTGACGAGTGGCGCACCCTTAAGTGTGCAGGTTCTACTGTTCCGCTCACATTAACACTTTTGTTAGTTTTTTTGTAATAGCCTACTTTGTTTTGATAAAATCATTACTTTCTTCAGCAACACTAATGCAAAGGAATGATTCATGAATACAAATGAAAGAAAGAGCTCACAAATCACAGAGGAGAAAAGGTGAGGAAAGAAGTTATGTTGGGTACTTGAAATGGATCATTACCACCAGGTGGCGCTATTAAAACACCTCATTTTAAAATCCTAAAAAAGGGTTGCAAATAAGGAAAATGCAAAATTAGAGTCTTTCACACAGAAAATACTTTTTATCAAAGAGAGAGAGTGAGTGAGTGTGTGTGTGTGTGTGTGTGTGTGTGTGTTTAGAACATAATTGTTTTTGGAAGAAGTAAATATTATGGGAAGTGGTGATACTTTGTTTTTAGAAAGATGGCTCACAATTAATATTTTAGTAAGTTAAATACTAAAGCTTTTGAATATAAATATATTTAATCCCAACTAGACCTTTTCTAGAATCTTCTGAAGCATGATATTGTAGACATCAGAAAGATGGTTTACGTTTACCATTCCTCAACCCACTTTGATTCTACATAGAGAGCTTGCACAGTGGGGGCATTTATGTGAAAACAATTAGTATCCCATTAGGGGAAACATGAAGCCTGCAGGTCTCAGATGTTCTTGACTGCTTTGGGAACTTGGCGTGTAGAAAGCTGGTAAATTAATACTCGGTGGAAGAGAATTCTCTACTTTAAAACATGTTGTCTATTGTGTGACTCCTTGCTGCTGGTACCATTGTTATTTAAAGTGGACATTTTCATGTTTGTACATTCTGTATCCATTTACTGACAGAGAGATGAAAAGTTGATAATTCACATGTTTGTACATCAAAGATAGGGTGTTGATATAATGGTCCAGATAATCTTACACTTGAAGAGAGGCCAGAAGTAGAAAGTGATCTAACACAAAAAAGCATTAATGCCCCGAATTTTACGTTGATTCTCCCTTATTTCAGCCCCAGAGCAACTCTCTGAATCAGATGATGTTGATAACTCCATTCTTAAGGCGAGGCTCCAGGAAGTTAAATAACTTGTCAGTTATCACAAAGCCACACTATATGACAGAATCAGGAGTTAAGCTCAGAAATTATTCTAGAGAGAAAAAAAATGCAAGAAAATGAAAGGAAAAAGGCCTATGTTGTTTTGCAATTTGTATTTAGATAAAATAATGTGGATAGCCTTGAAAGAAAGTGGAAAGACATATATATATATGTGTGTGTGTGTGTATATATATATTCTACTTATGTAATTTTTATCAATTCTATCTCAGTATACTATAACATATTCCATCATCCACAAAGCAGGAAGCCTGGGAAAACTGCTGGGTTTTTCTATACCTGGGGAAGACAATACAAGTTGCTCATGAAAGTTGTAGCTGTGATAGCTCCCACATAATTCACACTACAGAGGCATTGACCCAGCTGGAAATGCAATGCATTATATAGAAATCGGCTCATCCCTATCTGGAAAAATATATGTTAATGGGTATATGTGACTCCAAGGAGAGTGCCTGGTATATACTAGACACTCAACATGTTGGCAGGATCTGAGCCTACAGCAATATAAAACCGACAACTTTATATTGTTTGGAAGTATCTGATGAACTCTATATTTCTTGTTAGAGTTTCTAATTGAATTGTATTTAGGGTAGTAGCAGTTCTTAGCCACATTTTGCAGAGACGCTTCTGTGTCCACCTGGGAAGTTATATGAGGGAAAGATCGTGTACGGGGGCAGTGGTGTGTGTGGTGGGGGAGTGGGCTTTGGCATCCACCCTAGCTTATGTTAGAGCAGGTAGGCTATTTCTGATACATGCGACATTTCTAATACTGTGCTGGCATATTTTGAATACTTAGCTTTGATGTCAAGTCCTATAACACATCAGGGATTTAAGTGATTTATTTGAAACAATTCATCACTTAAAAGATTATACTTAAAAGATTCAGGACCTTTATGATTTTATAAAATGATAAAAGATCCCCTGTGTTCTATGGTTATCAGAATTGAAGGTGACACAATATCTGAAAAGAAAAAAAAAATCATTATATGTCTCAGAGAGATGCGTCACAAAGGAATTTAATTCCTAATTTGATAAAAATTAAAAGAATCTAATTCTTTGATGATAAATCTTGAATCAGCTGGAGGCTGATTAACATATATAGAAGTAAGAGCAACTCAGAAGTGTTTTGACAGAAGCAGACGACCTGGGGCTTATGTTGAAGTTTCTGATTATGTCCTCTAATGGTTCTGAAACATGGCCAGGAATGCCATTTATTTATTTGTTTCTTTGTTCACTTATTCATTCATACGTATTCTGAGGGTGACTCTTTTTTTTTTGGAGACAGGGTCTTGTTCTGTTGCTGAGGCTGGAGTGTTGTGAAGCAATCACAGCTCACCGCAGCCCCAACCTCCTGGACTCAAGTGATCCTCCCACCTCAGCCTCCCACATAGTTGGGACTACAGGCACACACCATCACGCTTGACTAATTTTTAAATTTTTTGTAGAGACTGGGTCTTGCTATGAGGTCCAGGCTGAACTTGAACTCCTGGGCTAAGGGAGTCTTAAAAGGTGTGCTGTTCATATTCTAGCCTAGTAATTGTGTTTTCAGTCATTGGTGTCACAGAAGTGCCACCTGCCTGTTGTTCCAATTGGGCTGTTACCACTTGTCTATTTTGCTAATGGTTTGCTACAGTTGAAACATAGTGTGATTTGGTCTAGCTCCCAGCTCCCAGAGACCACAGGAAACACAGACAGGTACCTGCTTGATCCTCCCAAGCTGCAAACATTCTTGGGCGTGTGTTGGGCAGTACACACTGTGCTTCCTGTGTCATGCCCACATCCAGCTGTCAGGCCCTCACCCCTGAGGGCCTGGGGGATACGTGGGAGAAGTTTGTTGATTTGGGCTCAAGGTCAAGCAGTCTATTTTAGAAACCTTAGGAAACTTAGTTTAAAGAATATTAAAAGGTCTCATAAAAGAGATTTGTAAGGTTGACTAGCAGTTGATTTGTTATGAGATGGAAGAGTCATACATTATCTTGGTATTTAATCAGTTAATAAATCGTTTCAATATGGTATATCTTTTTTTTCTTAAAGCAGTTTTTTTCATAATAGCAAAGGATGCCAAGATTATTGCAATCTTTGGTAATCTCCTGTGAAATATGCCCTTTGCATTTCTTTTCATGAGTTTCCACCCTTCCCAGTATCAAGAAACAACAGAGGAGGGGAAAAAAACATTTAGGGAAAATCACCAAATGCAGAGTCAGGAATCAAATTGAGATTTTTGGGCTCCAAGTCCAGAATACCATGTTGACATTATAAATAGTCAACTAGGTATTTAATAGCTTATCTCTAAGAGCTTGAGATTGTGGCTTCGATTTTGAGACTCACATAAAAGCCAACTCTTAGGGAGCGACCCCTAAGGTGCACATGTATTACTGATTTATTTACACAAAACCTCGTTCCATAAAGGAAATAAAGTGGTCTGCAACAATAACACATACTGTATAATAATGGTAAAATGTCATACTGAGGAACCAAAAGATAAAGATCAGGATAAAATGCTGATACGAGCTTAACCAAA